AGTTTTCTGGTTTAATGTAGAGAAAGAGAGAGAAGAAAGATAAATTGTTTTCCTTTTCGGCAGAGAAAAAAAAAAGATAGTTTTGTCTTTTTGTTATTAAAAGGTGGCATAAATGCAAATGCGTAAATGGGAGTTGCACGGTTGATTAATTGGCTTTTGAATGTACCATTTTTGTAATTGCCCTTTTTTCAATATCAAACCGTTGTTAAAGGTAATTTTATAAATTAAGTTAAATAGATTACTTTCCAAACTATTGACAATATAGTTAAATTTTGGTTTTCTGCAAATAAACCCTCCAAATGGTAAGAGAAAATTTGAAAAAATACCTCTTTGAGTTTTTAAATTTAAAATATACACCTTTTTAATTTATTTTGAAATCTACACTTTCAAAAATATTATATTACGAAAATAACCTTAATAAAACTAAATAGTAATTTATTTTAATAAAAATACATTTTTGTTTATTATTGAAATCATATTAATTTTTGTCATATCTCCGCACACATATTTCATGATTTTTTGTTGGCTTNATCTATTAATTTTGAATATGACAATTGACTATACTTTGATATAATAGATATTAAGAAAAAATCGTTCGTTGCTTATTGAAAATTGGTAAATAACCTCATCTATCGTATTGAAACATTATTATGTTTTTCATTATCATATGTTATTGCTTTACTATCTGTTTGCTATTTGATAGATACCTTGAATCTGATTTTATCTAAAAATTCATGCATAAATTGATTACTATATAATTTGTGTCTCTAAGTTTGAACGCTTTTATCTCTTCTCTTTAGCAAAATGATGAATTTTCTTTATATAAGACATGTAAGTTTTTATTTTTCCAGATTTTAAAATATTTCTATAGATTTATCTAACGATAAATTTTAATGTATAATATATCTTTATCTCAAATAATTTTTTTTTTCAAATTCTTTAATTTTTTACATTTAAAAATTTATCGTACTAGTAGCTGAGTGTTCAAGAGAAGACATGCCAGGACCCAATAACAGTAAGGAGAACCAATCGAGGAGAACCAAGCCTAAGGAGAACAAACCAGAATTCAACTCCACCAAGACAAGCACCAACACTCATTCTGGTCAAGAGATTCTCCATACTGCTCGAAGCATTGAAGATTGTCAAGCAACTATACATATGGATCACTCATCGTTTATACCAAAGAGAAATTCACCCGAGAAGACATATGGACCAGATTTCAACATTTTGAAGACTAACCAAAAGGAATCCAGCCACGAACTTACTCAGCCTAGTTTCTTGACCCATCAAGGAAGCAAAACCAGTAGAGACTTTACCCAGACCCAACCGGACCCTCCCAATGGCTTCAAACATAGCCAACATGTCTCTTTGAGTCCAAAGAGGAAAGTGACCCACCCGACCAAGTTGGAGCTGGTTACATGAGTATTTTAGACCGTCCTGATGATTTAAAAGCTTCCAAGTCAGCTTTGGACGAGATATTATTCAAAGAGAGCAAGGGAATCACATTGAAGAAACTTTCCTTTTTTGGGAATGTTTACTTTTCCCCAATTGCCAATATTGGATATCTGCAGCTTAATCTCAACCATTCAATCTCTCCAGAAGATCCTACACGTCCAAACACCTCAGAAGACCTAATGTTTATTGAAGATTCTCCAGCCAACGCAAGAGAGGCTCCTCCTCTAAAGCCTAACGGCTAGTTCATCTATCAAGCAATCTGTCACGTTTTCTTTTGTTATTTCGATTGATTCTTTTCCTTTTTAGTTTTTGTTGACCGTTGGTGTAACACCCCCGATCATTGATTAACCGGAAATGCTACAAATTTGTACTAAGCCGTTCGTTCCGAGGTTCCAGAAACAAATTCGAGAACCTTAGACCAAACTTCCAAGTACACATTTCCTATTCGAGGTTTTTCAACCCGAGTTAGGTCCAATAGTTAATTCGTCCGGACTAGGACTAGTATCACATGAAACCCAATTTTAACAAACACATTTTTATACATAATAATAGTAGGTTATTAAACGTGATACAAAAGTATATATATATACATGCCGGCACTGAGTCTAGTACTCAAAACGTCATCATACATAGTAAACATTAGTCGTTTACAAAAGGCAAGATAAACTACTGCTAGTTTCCTTGTGTATGTACACCCGTATGGTTTACCCGCTAATGGTCATCTTAGAGTCATAAGCAACTAATTTGTAGTGAGTAGGGCTCCCTAACATACATGTGAATATCCCAACCAACCCAAAATAACAATCACACACAACAATCACACACAAGAATGCACAACATAAGTAACGAAATGCATATTTCAATTCATGAGTTTTAATCTTTAAGTTTTCATTAAAGCCTTCGCGATTGACTACTTTCCATCACGTCACACTTGAAGGCATCATTCAGCATGTAGCCACGAAGGCTAAACAAACTAATGAACCTTCAACCTTCCAATGGCCTTAAATGTATAAGGAACCGCACCGGAAATTCGGCCAAAGGCATTTGGCCGGAATCCCGTCTCTCCGTGTCTTCGTGTACTTATACTAATACTCAACGTACTAGCTAAGCCACGACCTCAAAGAAAAGTCAAACCGCATTTATTACAAGTTTAAATTGTTTACAAAGCAATTATGCTACAAGTAAACTTATAACATATCACACAATATCAGTCTTATACGTATTGCACAAGTTAGAGCTTTTAAGCATTCTAACAAGTGTAATAATTCAAATGTCAAAGAACCTCACGTGCCTTATAATCAAAAGAACTTAAAACTACAAATAAACTTATATATATGCAAAGTACGTTTTAAGACATAAATATTGCATAAATAAATATATACTTATGCAATATTTTTATCAACCAAGTGCAATCAATCAAACGTTTAAACACTCAAAGGTATGCATCACTTATAGTCACAAAACAAACATCAAGCACCGAGTCTCACCTTGGCTTTTGATCAAAGGTCATGGTTTAGCTCGTAAATTTCTACTCACGTTATGATTAAACTTGGAATTGGGATCTGTTGAAACAGATCACACTAGTTACCATAGGAAAATACATATTTCTAAGTTAAACTAGCTAGTCAAAACTTCACGGGTCTTACCTAGGCCGAATAGGATTTCGAATCCTAGACTTCTTTCTTTATGATCCGACTGAAACTCTCACCTAGGGTCTTACCTAAGCCGAATAGGATCTCTTTCGAATCCTAGACTTCTTTCTTTACGATCCGGCTGAAACTCTCACCTAGGGTTCGTGATAGATCCAAGCGTTGGATCAGGAAATTAAGGTTAAATTCATGTTCAAAACACGAGAACATGTCGGACTGGAAAGTTTGGGTTCGATAGGCTTACCCTTAAATTTTCCCGAACATTTTATGGTGGAAAACGGACATGGGTTCGGTTCTGATTTTCCTTATGGTTTTAATGGGTTGCGAACTGCTATATATAGGCAGAAGATGAAGGACGAAGCTGGTGGAGCAGCTCAAGGAGTCACCACCAGTACGCCAATCTCATTTCCAGCACGACACATGTCAACGACTAATCCAAGCAGCTGAATCATCAAGCAGCTGAGTCATCCAAGCAGGAGACAACCTGGTGAGGCAGGAGACAACCAACTGAGTCACCCTGAAGCTGGTCAAGCAGCTCACCCATTGACCAGCTTCCCCTCTTTCATTTTTGGACGATTAAAAAGATAAAACCGAAATGACCTGACAAACTGTCCATATAACTCGAAACCCTATTTCCATGTACCAACTCAACACTCACGAATTATTTAGCTTTCTTAGACATTTATCAGAGGTTCATAAGCTACTCAACTTGCTTTGATCCCAACATATCTGCCTCGGTCCCTTTAAATTCCACTCGATGTACCACATTGTCAGAAATAATATCCCTTTAAACTGAAAACCTTCAACCTAAATTACTTCCTTATCTTTGTTTTCCAATTAATTAACATAGCTAGCTTGATTTTTCTCTCATGTCCCAATCTCGACCATATTGGTTCATGGTTTGCCTCATATTGTCGATATGGTCAACTGACTTGAACTAAATATTATTTCCTTCTGATCCTACTGAATTTTTTTTAACCAAAAGTACTTTCAAGGTTCCCTCTATCTTTCCCAATTTCCTTTGAATTGAATTGAAAATTTTGGATCCATGCTAAAATTGGCCTAGCCGTATCGACCATCCATACGAGTGAAAACTAAATTTCACTCGACCCAACTTTCTTTTGTTTTGACCAAAGGTTTTTCTTGTTTCTCTTGAGAATACTAAGGGAATTTCTCTTGACATATCTAGTCTTCATCAGGGTTATTACAGTTGGGGTCTTATTCTAGAGCCTATAAAAGCTCTGTTGTGTTGCGCCTTCAATTCACGTTTTTATCAATCTAATAAACTACAAGTTTTTGCTTTCAAAGTGTTTGTCTTTGAATATGTTTCTGTATGCGAGTTTGAGTATTTGTGGAATCAAATCACTCTTGTTCGTGGGAGAGAGAGTTAGATCCTTGTGAGGAAGAGCCCCTGGGTCTAAAGCTTTGTCCATTGATTCATTCGGTTATGTCATAAACCGAATGCATTGCCATCATACTTTCATCCATCAATCCATCAAGCCTTAAACTCATGACCATTGTTTGTTATAAGTTTGGTGGAATCCAATCTTATATCATTTGGTATAAGAGTTTAAACGCTCCTATCCAGGTGATTTCAATTCTTTTTGTGTTCTTGTTTATTTCTGTTTCTATAATTTCAATTCCTAAAGAAAAAAAAAATCTAGTTTGCATATTTGATTCAGTTTGTTTCGTTTCTGTTTTATAACTTGAAAACTCATTAGAAACTTTCGTGAAAAAATTGTTTTACTTCTGTTTTGCTTTGATTTTCATTTCACAAAATTAGAAAAGCCATAA